CAATTATATATGCAGAAGGACATTACCAGCAAAGACATAGGGCACTAGGACGGCCTTTTCTGCCTTATTAGGCGTCATTGGCTAGTGATACCCAACCCCCGCTGAAATTGCTACCACACCGAGATTTAAACTCGACATTTGAACTCGCCACTGTTTATCTCCGATCTCATACCGGCAAGACCATGAGCTCGTAGCTCAACTGTTAGGACGTTCGTCCTGACGGGAGAAATCGCGAGTTCAAATCTCGGTGTGGCAGCAATTTCAGCGGCCATACAGGGGTTGGGTATAACTAGCTGATGACGCTTAATAAGAAAAAAAGGCCTTCCTAGTGCCCCATGTCTTTGCTGGTAATGTCCTTCTGCCTATATCCTAGCCACCTCGTGGTGGAGGCTCGAGAGAGCGTTCTAATGGCAATATGGACGGACGAGTGGGTCCTCTAACAGTTCGGTGTACGCATGTATGCCACCATAATTATATATCTATCCAAAGGCTGGTGTTGTGCTGTTTCTGTTTCCACATATCACATGAAGAGAACGCACACCCAAATAAATATTATGTTGTGCATTCAAATAGTCATTTAATTATATAACTTTTCAGGTTTAATTATGGAATTTTTTTATAGACCAAGATAATGTGCGACATGATACTGAATCCAGATTGATGAAGGCACTACTAAAGCGGGTGAATAAGCTTTCAGAAAGGCTATTTATAGGCGGTACTGTTGCTTAAAATTACTCGGAGCTCTGGAACTAAATTTTCAAAAAACGTTTGCTTTTACCCTCATGCTTCGCCTGACATACGCGCGGACAAAAATGTAAATTTTGCAATTGGCGGCAATTGTTTTAGTTAGTTTTTCTTGGTAAATTGGAATACTGTTTTCTCCGGAAGAAATTTGAACGAGGCAAAGGTTACGAGAGTAGCTGATTTTATTGACCTCATACATTTCGCGACCTCTCATTCAAATGCAAACGACACTAATTGCTACACTGTCTTCCGGCACCATGCACCGAAGAGTCCGCCCTATTTTCTGCCGTACACTGGCATAGCAGCACTCCGTACGTCTATTCCTAGCATACCACCGCATATGTAAAGAAACGGACATCTAGAAGCTGAGATTGGGCCTGTCTCCATAGGAGATTTTATGTTAACCTGCAGGTTTTTGAGTATTTTATTAATTAATCCCGTGGTCTCAGTTAATGGAGCCATCTTTTGCTGAACATTTTGGATGCCACCTTCAAAATAAAGCGTTTTCTCTCCTCTTAAAACAGCCCAGGGATAGAGTTGGTCTAGCAATTATCTTCCATGCTTATATTTTCTTAGGTTCTTGCCTTCATAACAGGAATCAGAAGTTTTGCATCCTTTTTGTTAATAATTAACTTTTGAAAAGGCGAAATGGGGACGCAATTGCATCTGTCGTATCCGACGCCATTGTCCACCTAATACTGTGACAAGGTGACTTCAACCGCTAGTTACAACCCCACGGAGCCTAAATGTAGTTCAGCTACGCCAATTTAGCCACATTATTTTACGTAAAAGAATAGCAAAGAGTTACGCCAAGGTGGCACAATAAACAGAAGTTAGTGATGGCATAAAATTTCGCGACCTCCTACTGTTGTTGCCTATTAATACGACAATATAAACTGCCCAATTAAATACCGACCTTGAGAGTGTAAACGTGATAGGTAAATAAGGCTGAACTGTCAGTATGATATACGGGTGCGCACGGCGGAGGGGAGAGAGGAGGAGTTATTTCAGCAAGTCAGTTTAGGTTACCGTGAAAGCCTGTGAGATGTGATTAAAACTGTAACGCACAAGACAGCTGCCAGTGGAGTGAGCAGGAGAGGTTGGTCACGTGATCCTGCTAAAATATGATCGGTAAATAAAGCATCAGCTGAGGGTCTAAGATGCGGGCGCACATATTGAGGAATAAGAAGAGAAGTGTGGGGGCAGTTATCGAAGCAAGCGAGTTGAGATTCTAGTGACAAATGTCAAGCGTGATTTAAAGCCGGTTATTTGGGGAGATAAGGGAGCGTGAGAGAACGGAATGGGGTTAAGTCCATTATTGATCCTTACCACAGTAACGTGAGGTTGATCAAAGGATCCAGCTGCTTACCGTTCTGACTTTTTTCTCCATATTGCAGCGTCATCGGCAAATCCTAGGAGACGCCCAGTCGGCGCCCGAAGTACGACCTTTAAGGCAGTCATTGGGTTCAACATATGGCGGCAAACGTTCGCAGGCAGGAATTTCCTTGATAGCGCACATATGTTCTAATTTATATTTAAATGCCTACTCCAACGCTTCCCGTAAGACAGAAACTTGGGGCATTATTAAATGCGATATCACTATCAAAAACTAACCCTAACCCTTACCCTAACCATAACCCTAACCCTTACCCTAACCATAACCCTAACCCTAAACCTTAGCCGAAACCTAAACCTTACCTTAACCCTAACCCTTACCCTAACACTAACCCTAACCCTTAACCCTTAACCCTAACCCCAGCCCTTACCCTAACCATAAACCTAACCCTTACCCTAAC